CGCCGTCCGTAGAGAGAAAGTACCATGAACCAGTGGCTGCAGTCGAGCAGATAATATAAGACAAAGGGCATGGACGGCAACCATACGACTTCCTGCCGCCTGAGGAATGCCGCCCCCAACGTCCCCAACGTTTCAAGAAGTAGAAGAAAACCCTGGTCAGTTCGCTGGCCTCAACCCAAGCGTGCGTTGTTGTGTTTTCATCAACCAACACATCGAGTTTAATTGGCATCGTTCAGCACCCAACCGCCACCGCCCAAACCACGCAAGCCCTCAGGTCAGCAATCTCTACGACGGTCATTAAACGGTCAGGCGGCGCGAAGGCCTGGAAGGGCAGGTATTTTAGTCTCCGCGTGTGTGAAGAATAGGCGGACCATCCTGTCGGTCTGACTGGGCGAGGAATACCGCAATTGGACCCATGCGTTGGACCACCCAAGTCGGAACAGCGATCGCTTGAAACGTCCGAGTTCTCGAAAAGGGCACGCTTCCCACCGCCAGCAGTGGGATCAGGCTATCGCACGTGCGCGGGAGAGAAGCGGTCGGGCAGGCTGGACGGATATAGGGCCGTCCACGACCAGCCTGTTGCTCCCCTTGGTTCCAGCCAGAGATTATACGAGGCTGGTTCAAGTGAATCGTAGGTGCTCCCTTGCTTCGGTGCCGCTACGCGATCCGCCAGTGCTTACCTCGCCTTGGGCCAGTACATACCTTAGCCTCCGGTTGGTGTTAGTGCCCTCAGTTAGCACCTAGCTCGGGTCGGTATTAGGGGGCGTCGCACCACCACAGGCTCCCCGTTGCCCTCCACCCTCACCCAGACACCCACCCGGAACCACTGAGACTAGCCCCAGCGGCCCCCAGCCCCAGCCCCCAGCCCCGCCGGCTACGCTACAACCATCTCAGCCGTGGCAGAGAAGCCGCAGGAATCATGCCTCAGGCATCACCCCGAAAGGAGGACCCGCTGCTTCACAGCAAACCGCCCCACCTGCTTTCTCAGCAGCTCCTCCAGTCGCCGTCTCCAGCTTCCCACGACCACGACTCGTCGAACACCAGCGGCACAGTGGACACGACTGACGCTACTTCCACCACCACTCCTAATTCTGTCTCGACGTCGCCGTCATCACCCTGTTCCAACAGCAATCCCCCGTCCTCGTACGCCATCGCATCTCCCAGTCGAAGACCCAGCGCCAACTTCCTGCGCCGAACATGGCATCGGCTGCGTGATCACTCCCCCGATACTTCAACCAACCGCACCGACATCGTCCATCCGTCCTCCACCATGGGTTCCAAGCATTCCAACGGCAATTCTGGCGGCGGCCAGGTCAGCCATCGTCTGCGCAACTTCTTCAGGATAAACAACAGCAATAGCAGTAATAATGCCGGCGAAAAGGATAAGGGGAGCGAGAAGGATAAAGACAAGGACAAAGACAGGAGCACTGACGGTGACAACAACTCCGGCTCCGGCCCCACGAGGCCATTCCGTCCCGCCAAGTTCTTCAGTAGCACAGTTGGCCGTCTGCGATCACACACCGCCACCAGTGACGGCACCCAGGGCCAGGAATCCCTAAGTCCTACCGCCCATGCCAATCCGTACTTTGCTCACCAGGGCATGCCTGGACTTCGCCATCACAACACCGGATCAGTCCCCCCAAGTCCCCCCGACACTCCGACGCTGAAAATCTCGGGCCCCGATGGTGCACCTAACGGCAAGACTGTAACCGCAGAGACAAAGGAGCAACTTGCACGGAGACTAAGAAGGGTCGCGAGTGCCCCCAACGCCCAGGGTCTGTTTGCCAGTGGCAACAGCAAAAAGGCTGGGGCCGCTGACCAGGACCATGACCAACGGCCTGCCACGGCGGAACTTGGCAAGGACCCTTTGATTCAGGACCCCAACAACCCAGGCGCATTGGCAATGGTCGACGCGAAATCCCAGGCTGACAAGAGCAACATGCTCGGCCTGCCCACTGAAGACGATGTGTTGTCTGCTCTGCCACTCCCTAACCAGGGATTGGCTTTCCGTCGCACCTATAGCTCAAACTCAATTAAAGTCAGGACAGTTGAAGTTAGCCCCGCGAGCTTTGATAAGGTGAAGCTTATCGGCAAGGGCGATGTCGGAAAGGTGTATCTTGTCCGAGAGAAGAAGAGCAACCGCCTCTATGCGATGAAGGGTGAGTTTCTGACAGAAATCCCAGCCGTCTCTTGCATGCCATGCGATAGGATACTAACCGTGCCATTTTAGTGCTAAGTAAGAAAGAGATGATCAAGCGAAACAAGATCAAGCGAGCCCTTGCCGAACAGGAAATTCTAGCGACGAGCAACCATCCCTTCATTGTGACCTTATACCACTCGTTTCAGTCCGAGGACTATCTGTACCTGTGCATGGAATACTGCAGTGGCGGGGAGTTCTTCCGTGCCCTGCAAACGCGGCCTGGAAAGTGCATTCCTGAGGATGATGCCCGCTTCTACGCCGCTGAGGTGACGGCCGCATTGGAGTATCTGCATCTTATGGGCTTCATTTACCGTGATTTGAAGCCAGAGAGTACGAGACCTCTCCTCCTTTCCGTGTAGGGCGAATTGGCTGCTAACTTGGGACATTATAGACATCCTCCTCCACCAGTCTGGACACATCATGTTGTCTGACTTTGATCTTTCTAAGCAGTCCGATCCCGGTGGCAAGCCGACCATGATTATTGGCAAGAACGGGGCGAGAACAGATTCGCTGCCCACCATTGACACCAGATCGTGTATCGCAAACTTTCGTACCAATTCGTTTGTTGGTACCGAGGAATACATCGCTCCCGAGGTCATCAAGGGCAGTGGCCACACCAGCGCAGTAGACTGGTGGACTCTGGGCATTTTGATATATGAAATGCTTTACGGTACCACCCCCTTCAAGGGAAAGAACCGCAACGCCACTTTTGCCAATATCCTTAGGGAGGATATTCCTTTCCCAGACCACTCTGGCGCGCCCCAGATATCAAAGTGAGTAGTTTTGAATTTGGGTTCTTCCTCACATATTCATCGGTCGTTCCTTTCATCTAATCCTTGACGCTAACCCTCCTTAGTCTCTGTAAATCACTCATCAGGAAACTCCTGATCAAGGATGAGAACAGGAGATTAGGTGCCCGCGCGGGAGCATCCGATATCAAGGCGCACCCGTTCTTCCGCACAACGCAGTGGGCCCTCATCCGTCACATGAAGCCTCCCATCGTTCCTCAGCCACCCCGAGGCAACGAGACGCCTAATTTCCGCAACGTCAAGGAGAGCGAAAGCGTCGATATTAGCGGGTCAAAACAGACCCCTGGCGTTCCTCTCGACAGCGGGCTGGCTACTCCTGGCGGCGAAATTGCGGATCCTTTCCTCGAGTTCAACAGCGTCACCTTACATCATGATGGAGACGATGAAGCCAACTACCAACATCATAACCCCAGCGTTCATGGCCCCAGCGTTCATGGGTAGCATACCTATCACCGCTTAGAGCTACCCCGATATTAGGCTAGACTGCATGGCCGCTTGTACTGGAAGCAGGGATGCGATGAGATATGCCTTTGCATTTTGATTGTTGCTGTTGTTTTTGTCTGGTCATTCTGCTTACAAGAATTGGAGTGGGTGAGGCCAAAGAACATACCCATGGCCTTCTTTTGCGTTTTCATTTCGAAAAAAAGAAGTCTTGTGCATCCACAAGACGGAAGCTGACACTTCACCACTTGCAGAGCCTGAATGTTTGTTGCGGTATTTGCCTCTTTCGTACATTATTTAAAACATGGCGTCGTACACACGGTCTGGCGTTTTAGAGAGAGTGGTCAAAGGGAAGAGAGAGTGCGACAATGTCTTATGTAAAGCTTACTTTTATCTACTTACACACACCCCATTCATGGTGACTGACATTCACTCCAAAACACCACACTTATTACTTACGGATAAAGGGTCTGATCTACAAATAGAACAAGGATATTCTCTGGAATTATTTCCCGATTATTGCTCTCATGTGCGCTGGTGAAATGAAGCAGTCGCGCCATCCACATGACACCAGCGTTCACACTGACAGTCATGTGCTGGTGCTTAGCGTTGCACGAGCCTTGCTTGGGTTGCCATCACACCCCCCTCCAATAATATCTGGGTGTGGTATATATGCTCAACGTTCTTCATATGATCTGCCCGGCTGGCGGATGCCTTGTCCCGCCCCGGGGCATGATCAAGCAGAAAAAGGCATCATGAGCCCGCTCTTATCGCTGTCGCTGGTGCGACATACCCTCCTACTGCTATAAGAGGCATGGCTAGCTTGGGGGGAGCTTTGGACGGGTATGTCTTGTGTGTCCAACCTGGTTTCACGTTTATTTTTCCCATCATCCGTCACCATGGCTAAGCAGACGAAGTCTGGCAAGGCACCCGTACATGGCATAGACACCACCGGGCGCAGTTTCCACCCGACTGGGATCCGCGGGAGCCTCGCGGAGGAGGAGGGACGGGGCGGCACGACGGACAGTCCCGGGTACGTGCTGGAGTGGAACGGGTACACGTGCCGGCGACGCGGGCTGGAGGACGGGAGGGCTCTGCGGACGGAGATTGTGAGGACGAGCGGGGTGGGAGAGCGGTTGATCGTCGTGAGGGGGCTGGAGGCGCAGGGGCAGCAGGTCTTCCAGACGCTGAACGAGCTGGCGGGGATCGGGAAGCATCTGCTGGAGAGTCATCTCGGGGCGAGGGGGTATCATGGCACGAGTAGGGGAGGTGGGAGGAGACGTGGACGGGAGAGGGGGCGATGGTGGTCGTGGGAGTACCCGGAGATGGGGCTGGGACGAGTGGTGGCGTATAACAGCAGGATGGCAGGGACTGGAGGGGCATCGGCAGCTGGGGGCGCGCAGGAGGTGTCGTTCTGTAGAGTTTCGCTCTGGGTCACCACCGCGCTCTCGATTGTTCTTCTGGATGGACCGGCGATGGAGGGGGATGGCAGACGGCAGATGGCGAATCGCACGCCTCCACGGCTGAAACATCAGGACGCGGCCACGACCATGTCTAATCTACGGTCGCCTTCCTCGCACGAGGATGGGGGTATGGAGAACGGTCCTGGCCCAGGAACTCTGGAAAGGGAGCTGTGGAACTCCATGGGCCAAGACTCGTTCCTGGAAGAGACGCTCGGGGAGCTGGCGTACTCGCACTGGCTGCGATTCCTCGAGACCGTGGGACCCGGCGCGAGCAAAAGGGAGAGCTGGCTGCTCTGGGACGCCCTCAAGAGCCTGGAGCGGAACCTGGACGACTCGAAGAGCACTGCGCTGCGCATCGAGACCCCGCCCGGATCGCCCGTCTCCTCTGGCCACCCGAGCGAGAGCACCCTGCCTTCGCCTGACGACTGGAAAGATCTGATCTCCCGGGCCCAGCATCGGCTGTATCTGCTCCAGCAGCCGCAAGCCTCGCCGCCGCAGCAACTCCGCTCGGAGCAGCCCGACAAGGATGTCAACGAGAGAGCCCTGGATCGCATCGCATACATAGGTGGGCTCCTCCTCCCCGTGACGGTGGTCTCGAGCGTCCTGGCCATCGAGGGCTCCTACGGGCCGGAGGGCGACAAGTTCTGGGTGTTCTGGGCGGTGAGCGTGGTGGCCTCGGTGGCGGCCATGGCGGTCATCTACGTCGAGCGGCTCAGGAGGCTGCGGGTCTGGTTCGAGATCGCGGCCGACGGCGTGATGGAGACGGGGGGCGCCTTCGTGGACGGGGACTTCTGGTGGGGGGACGACGAGAAGGAGGATGAGAACGTCTGCGTGGTGCGGGATGAGGAAGGCGTCAAGGCGTGGAAGAGAGGCGAGCTTGGCTGGGGAGGCGCTGTCAAGAAGGCGAGTGGCTATTATCGATGGCGAGGGGACAAGCGGCTGAGATTCGATATGCCGAAGCCGTGGCTAGGAACATAGATGATTGGGTGTGTTGTTCGCCGTGTAACCAAAAAACCGCGGATAGGAAAGTAAATGATTGGTTATGTTTTAAAGTAATTTCCTGGAATGTCTAGGCAGCAGCCTCGTTGATAGATGGATGTCTGGATTAGTGGTATAAGAACTTCGATATCAGCTTATGAGCTCAAGCTGTCATTGAAACCAAAGGCAAATTCACTGCTACCACATCGTTCTTATCCTACATACTTCACATCTTCACATAGGTAGTTCACTATGGCAATCGCAGAGGTGTATTCCGCCGAAACCACCATCAACAACTTCTTCATTAAAACATCCGCAACTCGTGCCGAATGTGAAGCTCGAGCAGCTGAGCTAACCGGCGGCAAGGCAATCCCGGTCACCATACAAGGTGATTCCAGTTACACGGTCTATGCTGGCCCTGAGCTCGAACATGTTGTTCAGTTTCGACCAAAGTCGCTTGAGCTCAGGACAGCGACTTCTGCCCTGGCAAGCAAGATCTACGGCACTCTTGCGCCTACTGTCGCATTTAAGGGGCAGATTGGAGATGAGGCTGCTGGGAAGGAACCGCTGTACATCTATGTCATGAACCGAATCAAGGGCGTCTCTTACCTGGACTTTATCTTGGCGAGTGAAAATCACGAGAACTCTCTAGCTGCGTTTGCTGCCCGCAAAAATCTCATCACGAGTATTGCCAAGTACGTGTATCTGGCAGTCTTGCTTAAGAGAACCTCGAAACTAAATATAATCTAGGTTTCACGCTCTTTCGTGGAATACTCCTCAGGTCGTCGGCCCTGAATACCGAGACGAGCTGAAAGACAGATATTCCTCAGATCTGGCGCTCCTGCACACGACTCTACCAGAGCGATTCCATCCCGCAATTCAAGCCTGTAGAGACGCCATGGAGCCCATCATGTCTCTCCCAATGGTCCTCTTACACAAGGATTTTGGTACGTCCAACATAATGGTCAACGAGGAGTCATGCCACTTCGTTGGCGTCGTAGACTGGGCCGAGGCCGAAGTTTGTCCCTTCGGTTCGAATCTCCATTCCCTGCAGCAGCTAACGGGCAAACTTCACTATGAGGGTGGATGGTCTCGGTACGACGACTACGACGACTTGCAAGAGACGTTCTGGTCCGTCTTCCAGAAGGAGGTTGCGGGTTTGCCCGAGGAAACCTTGCAGACCATTAAGCTTGCGAGAATCATGGGACTGTTTCTCTCCAAAGGGTTCACTGGCCTCCTGAAGGACGGGCCTGGGCGTGTGCCTATCCAGGATGACGAGAGGGGACGGTACAACATGTTGTCTCTGGACGGGTTTCTTCTCGATGAGGCCACAAAGTTTGATTGATATGTGACACTAGATGGCTGATTTCCTTTCTCTCATTTCAGGTTCCATTTTTGTCTTTGAGTTGAATCTTCTTTCCATATCAATTGATTTGATTCAGTGCCTCATGAGTATAAACCTACCGCGGTTGTTTTATAGAATCCTGGGGGTAGAATTTATGACGCTTCAACAGCTTCGAAGTCTAATATATCCTCAAAAAGAGAAGGCAGGCCGGTCTGCCTCGCGATTGTCCAAATATCGAATCCTTTATGTTTTTGGGTTCGAGAGAGGTGGCAGATGCTGGGTGGAATGTATTGACAATATTATGGTGTAAACCAATGTATCTAATATAAAAGTACATAGCGTGCATACATCGCAATGGTGGTTATAACATGACCCGGATTAATTATACTCCATCGACCTTCTTATTTCTTCGAACAATGTGGCCCTTGATGGCCTCCTTGCCATCCATCCAGGGGCGCAGACACTCGGGGATCGTGACGGTCATAGTCTCCTCATCCCACCCATTCTCCAAGATGGCAGCAATCACTCTAGGGACGGCAAGGGCAGTGCCATTGGCAGTGTAGGGGAAGCCCATCTTTCCGCCCTCAATACGAGTTCGCGTGGCGAGTCGTCGAGACTGGTAGTCCGTGCAGAGACTTGCGGATGTGACCTCGCCCCAGCCACCCAACTTCGACATACGGCTGGGGAACCACGCCTCCATATCGACCTTGCGGGTAGCAGAGGCGCCGAGGTCAGTTGCGGGCATGGACAGAATTCGAGCGGGCAAGCCGAGGGACTGGATGATCTCGGTCTGCATATCGAGCATCTCCTCGAACACATCGGTGGCCAGATCCTCGTCAGGGGCCGTCCAGGCAAACATCTCGACCTTTGTAAACTCATGAACACGGTAGAGACCCTTGGTGTCGGCACCACGAGCACCGGCCTCGGCACGGTAGCAGCGAGACACGGCGACTCGTTTCATGGGGAGCTCATCGGTTTGAATAGTGGACGCGGCCTTCATACCAGCGAGCGAAATCTCAGAAGTGCCTGTTAGACAGAGTTCGGGGACGTCCCTCTCCGCGTCGCTTTGGGCCTGGGCGATGGTGTACACCTGCTGCTCGCCGTTTTGGTCTCTTGGCTGGAAGCCACATGCGGCCCCGATGTGGCTGTAGACAATGCTGGGGGGCGACACCTGGAGCCAGCCGTGGCGAGTCACCACGGCGAGGGCGTACTGGACCAGCGCCTGTTCCAACTGTGCTGCCTCACCTACAAGGTAATACCATCCCCAGCCAGAAGCAGTAGCTGCGGAAGCAAAGTCTAGTATGCCCAGGTCAGTGCCGATCTGGACGTGCGACGGGCCATCCCTGATTGGTGTGGCAGCGTCCGTGTCGCCATCCTCGGGGGGGGATAATTGATGTAGCTCAGCAGGGCCGGCTCCGTCCCCCTGGGAGTGTCTTCACTCGTCAGATTGGGAATCTCGAGGGCGAGCTCCTCGATTGTGGCCAGAATCTGCTCCTCCTGCTCGGAGATGCCAGCAAGCTCGTTCTTGAGTTTCCGCGCCTCCTCCTGGATCTCCTCACGGGTCATCTTCTTGACAGCCTGGAGATCTTCATCGTTATTGCTAGTAGCTGGATTGGCCATCTGCTTGCGCAACAGATTGGACCTCTCACGGTTGGTACGGCTGCTGCGCGTGAGATTCTGCCACTGCTCATGGAGCTCTACAATGCGCGAGGCGTTGCCAGCCTGGCGCTTGTAGTTGCGCTCCAGGCATGTGGTCTCGTACAGCTCTGGATTCTGCCGGATGTGGCGGATGTCAATGATGGGCTTGGGGGCCGATGTAGGCCGCTTCGAAGCAGGTGTAGTGGTGGTGTTACTTGTAGCCTCCACCGCATATCCCCTCTTGAAGACGGATTGGACATTGAGCTTGGTGCTGCGACAGCGCAGGCATTGGATAGCTGTCCTCCTCATGACGGGCGTGATTATGACGATACGCCTAGTAATGTGCGTGAGAGGCGTTCACAACCATGGCCCGGACCGGCTTTTTATCTGTGTTATACAACTGGGCAGCAGAGAGAGCTCATGGTAAAACGAGTGGATGGGAGACGTCTGCTTCAGGATTAATGAGTGGGTGGAGCCTGAAAGCTTGATCGACCACCCAGTGGATTTAGCCGAACTCGGCCTTAGTGGACTCGCAGTAACAGCTCCTCGATTACAGCGCTGTTAGTGGACGCTTTGGGCGCTGGTAATGAACCTACAGAGGCATCAGGATGGAAGCATAGGGCAGTCTCCTTCATTCACATTCTGGAAAGTACGAAAGCCGCTTGAACAGGGTATCTTGGACATATATACTCTCGCTCTAAATACAAAATAACAATCTCAGACCGCCCCCCAAGCTCCTAGCGTCCAATTCATGTGATGCCCTCCGCTACCCCTGATCAATCCTCCTGCCCCCATACTCTGTCGTTGCTGGGCCTTGAAATCTACCTCGTTTGGCTTAGAGGCACCGAAAGAACCTTGCTGCTGCCAGAGCTCACGGTCAATGGTTGCCATGGCAGAAATCTTCAACTGGCACATGAGGCTTGCTCCCGCCCATGGCCCCAATGAATGGAGCGCCCGAAGCTTTCCTTGAACCGGCTGGTCGTGGTAGCGATACCGTTCGATTTTAGCCTCGACGGAATCGTACTCAGGTTCGGCATGTGCTGGGTTGAGAAGTAATTCAGCCTGGCTGATTTCATGAGGTGGGGAGGTCTCGCCGGGTGAGGAACCCTTTGCACCTCGCCCTTGAAGCTTCTGGTTGTGCTTCTCGGCTCCTTTACCCGACACAGGCTCCCATCCTCTTCGGTCGACCATACTTGAGACCTCATCCACGACCCTTTCTTTCAGCCCCAAGATGGCTGAACACCCGCCCGTGAAGATGATTCGGGACATACAAATGGCCCTCACATCTATAGGAAGCTGGAGAAGATGCTGGTACACTACTAGGTGGACCGGAAGTTCATGGTCGTCGAAGCTCGCTACTGGAGCTGAGGGGTCAAAGAAAACATCGTCGCATACGTTGCCCAGACTCTCAAAGGCCACATCCACAGTTCGAGGGGGGACCGTTGAATTGAATGGGACTTGAGTAGTGCCAGTGGACGGCGTAGCGTTGGTTGGTGTTTCCACATCAGATTCGTCTTGTTCCTCCACCGTCTCTAGCTGAGCTGAATCCCTTTGGGAGAGCCTAGACGCAGAGGGCCGACACCACATCAGTCGGCACATGATGTCTTCGGCTTCTTCGAAACTGATAACACGGTCTGCATTGTCTGGCTGCCGCTCGTCCGTGACGAGGGGAAGCAGGAGCTTGCTATAGAGCTCATCCAACAGATACCTCCCTCCACGAACAGTGCGCGTAGTTTTGACTTCACGGTACTCGTACACACTGGTAATGACTGTCTCTGACCAACCCATGTTGACAATGAGAGCTGAACGCGTTCCTGCCGCCACGGTAGACATCGTGGCTGAGGACAGTAAAGACACCATTGGTGTCTGAAATCTGTCAAATACCGTGTCAAGCACCGCTGAAACCAGGGGGAGTGGCAAGTCAGAATCCAGCACCAGTGCCGTCCTCCTTGGCCTTGAATCAAGAAGAAGGTGCCTAGAAATAAAGGGTATCAGCATAGGTATCATGAGTTGATCTCTCATCACGCATACTTGGTAAATGCGTCTCTCAGTAGCCGGTCAAGCTTATCTCGAACGAGACCAATGTCCACCTCCCTCAGATCATATCGCCAGACCTCATGCTCTGCAGACCATGCCTGCCCTGGCTTCCGCGCCAGAGTCTGCCATGCCCTGAAGTCGCCTGCTCGCCTCTGCTGCTCAGGGCCACACTGCACCGTCGCCTTAGGTAGTGAGTCGCCCGCAAAGCCAGCTCGGATGAACCGCGAGCCTATTTCAACGACGATGATCTCATCGTCAGCTCTGACTGTGGACGGTGAGCCGTATACTGAGGCGATGTTCCGCGGAGGCGTATGGGGGCTTGATGGCCCAGGCGGCCCCTGTGAAGGCCCTGAGCGGATGTTGGTGACGCTCCTGTGTGGTAGAGTCGTCGGGCCCGCACCGGAAGCCATGCCTGAATCTTTTTCTTGCTATCCTCCAAGTGCTACCGTAGCAGATATTTCATTTGAGTTGTGTTGTGGCTGGTGAGTTTATTTGTGCCGCATTTCAATGCCAGGCCTGGCTTGTGTGCTCCCCCAACGGAACAATTGCTGCATGGATTGATGGATTTAATTGCATTGATGAGGGCCAGCGATGCCGCCAACCAGATACAGAGGCGACAGTGTGGCTAGTGCCCGCTTTCAGTGGCTGCAGACTACAATCTCCCACTAAACAGGCCCTCGATCGGTGTTTTAGAACGCCGATCGCCCGACCAAAGTCAACAGTGCCCCCAACCGTAACCGCAGCGACAGCCCCACCTGCCGTCGACATTGATTCAACAGCTGCCAATTCGTCCAATGCTGGACATACGGAAGCCACACTCAATGGCATTAATAGAGATGATTTAGAGACAATCCTCTGCCAATCAATCCCTCATCATCACTGGGAAGAGTATTGTCTCCCGTGGCGAACCACCAGCGCCGCCATGGGGATCAAAGGGTAGGATATCGCTGCTTCAATTCACCGTCTAAATTTCTAACAGCATCATATAGCATATACGCCCAGCTTGGCCAGGCAGATCGTGTCGCCCTCGCAAAGCTAGCAGCCGAATCCTACCGAGAGTCGAGTCGACCCTTGAGACTCGCAATCGATTTTGCGATATGGCAATATCAAACACAGGCCGCCCAAGGTGGCCATAACCCAGCGATCCGAACCTTGTTTTATCGGCTTGTCAGACTCAAGGCCACCACCATCAACCCCGTCTTCGTCTTCGATGGGCCTAGGAAACCTAGATTCAAAAGGAACAAGCGTTCTGGGAGGGGAAACGGTGTTGCCACGGCCCAGGCCAAGAAGCTGATGCATCTCTTTGGCTTTGCTACGCATGATGCGCCTGGGGAAGCCGAAGCAGAATGCGCCCTGCTTCAAAAACGCGGCATCGTAGATGCTGTGTTAAGTGAAGATGTCGACACAATCATGTTTGGATGTACCAGGACGCTGCGCAACTGGTCGGGAGAGAGCAAGGGGACCACGGCACCGACTCACGTTACGCTCTATGACGTCCATGATATGAAACTGGCCGACCTCGGCCTGAACCGGGAAGGCATGGTCTTGGTGGCTCTGATGAGCGGCGGAGATTACCTACCTGATGGTATTCCGGGCTGCGGTGTGAAGGTGGCTTGTGAGGCGGCCAAAGCTGGGTTTGGGGCGAGTATATGCCAGTTGAAGGCATCCGACACAGAGGCGATACAAATCTGGAGGGAGAAGCTCATTCATGAACTAAAGACCAACGACAGCAAATATTTCCGGACTAAGCATAAAGCGCTCTCGATCCCAGAGGACTTCCCCAACGTAGAAGTTTTACGATACTACACACATCCCGTCGTCTCTCCATCCGATGACCTGGAAAAGGTGAGAGGAAAACTTGCGGAGCCAGGAGAGTTCCATCTGGAAGAACTCCGAGAGTTCACTCGAGACGAGTTCGGTTGGGACTTTCGCATTGGAGCCCTGAAATTTGTCCGTGTCTTAGGGAATGCCCTCCTTGTTCACAAGCTGCAGACCAAGCAACCAAAGGCTCAAGACCTGGTGAAGAAGATCAGCGGCCGCAGAATGCACTTCAGCGCCGATGCAGAGCCCGAACTCAGGGTTGCGTATGTTCCCGCAGAGGTAGTTCCTATCGATCTCTCGGCCGAAGTGGATGAGATTATTTCATATTCCAGGGATGGGCTCGCGACAAATAGTGATGATGAGTTCGAGGCTCCTGCGGATGCTGAAATGACCGCTCAAGCGGCAGCGCTAAATGTATATGATGTTCAAAAGCCCGAACTTGCCTGGGTCTTGGAGGAGTTTACCAGTCGGGCCGTACCTACAGCTGTAAGAGCCTGGCAGGACGCTGAAGAAGCCAAAGCTGCTCGCAAAACTTCCAAGACGAAGAAATCAGCAAACCCCAAACGCACCAAGAGCGGAGGGATGCCTAAAGGAGCTCTCGACAAATTTGTTCAGGTCAAGAAGCAGGCCCCTAGCACTGTGGTAGCGAAGGAATCAAGTCCTGATATGGTACATCCGCCAGAGCCTGTCGCAGATCTGGAGCCGGCAACACGTCTTCCGCCAGTTCGCGACCTCCGTCAAAAGCCATCTCCTTTGTCAGCGCCAAGTAAGCAACCCTCATCGACGAAGACAAGCTCTATGGCCGACAACTGGAAAGTCACCCGTTCACAGCTTACGCCCGTTAGGACTCCCAAATTCAAAACATTTCCGGAGACGATTGACCTACTATCCAGTCCAATCCCCACAGAGCCTTCGCCCCGTGCCTCTCCAACCACAAGCTCTTGGGCACGTCCCGTTGGCCATACGCAAGTATCTAATCCAATATGCTCGGGTATTACCAACAATCTGGTTTCGCAAGGGGTGAAAATTCCAGCACAGGCGACAACTACCAAGCGTACTAAACAATCACAAATCTCGACTACTCTCACGAAATCTACCTCTCTGAAACAGTCATCAATGACGATGTATACAACTCAACAGATGAGGACAGAGAAAGGTCAACTAAAAAGGGGCAACTCACCGGTTGTTTCCATACAGGACACTACCAAGTTGGCTTCTTCCGATGCGGATGAGTCGTGGCTTCTTGAGAATGATTTCCCAACCCTGGCATCATTGATATCCATGCCTCCACAGCAACTAAAGACGACGAGATCTCCAGACGTACAGATGGGGAGTCCTAAGAGTTCTGCAACGGAAGGTGCCCGTTCGTATGGCCAATCCCAAGGCACGAATGAGCCTTTGGCGTCTGTTACAGGTGCCACGAAGTTTTGGAAAGATCTTGAGCTCGATGA